TAACAGATTCTTCAAGTTTAATACTTAACATTTAATTTTATAATTTTATGATTCTTTTTATATTCACCTTTTTAATTCAAGGAATCGTTGTCCAATTTTCATTAAACATTATTCAAAGTTTGCGAAATCATTTCCCAACTTCACATCTATATCATGCTATGCGAATTCTTGATCCTTCCGAATCTCCTGATGATCAAGAGTCTTTAAGAACATATGGTGACTCTGACATAAAATTTCTTGCTGACTTCTATGGAGTCTCTAAACCAATTACTCTTAACAATACATACCATCCTCCGATTATCGATAATAAAGGTGTGATACGGGAATGGCAAATGGCAAAATATTTAATTCATGGTTATCGAAATTTTTCGTTTATGGAAGCTTGGAAAAAAATTTGGGTTCAAAACTTTCAATTTAGAAATCAATTTCCTCAATTGACAAAATTGGTGGAGATTGCACTTACCATGCCAATTTCTAATGGTACAGTAGAGCGCGTATTTTCTCGTCACCATTTGATAAGAAATGGATTGAATACTGAAGTTCTTAGTTATTATTTACATTTAACCCTTAATGCTCCTGAATCATGGGAATGTTTTGATTATGAAAAAGCTTATGAGTATTGGATTGAGCTTTCTAAAGCTAATTAATAATATGAATAATATGGGAATATATTGTTTTTCTAAGTACAATTTTATAAGAGTAATCATGAATTTTTTTTTTTTCTAAAATTAGAGTTTCCCTATATATGTCAATTTTTAGATTCAAAGCCTTAAATAAAAAAGAAAAAAAAAAATCTATATTTAAAAATTCAACTTTTAGCATGATTAGGCAATTCATAATCATCAATTTTATATAACTGGACATTGGACCTGACACTTCGGATTGCTGAAAAATTCTTTACAGCACGTTTGTAAATTCGCCCATGGAGTGCTTTGTTGGTTTTTATAAAAAAGCGTCTCCCAGATCGCGTTACGTTACACTAAAATCGTAGTTCGCTATTGGCCAAAAATCACATGACAGATTAATTTTCTGCGGTGATAAATCATTCATTAAAATTTTATGAATTCTGCGTAAATCGGTCATAACAGAACTTCGAATTATTTCAAGATCAAAAGTTTTAGAGCGACCGCGATTTAGTGTTCCAAGTGATTAAATTTTTACACTAAGCTGTAGTCAGCAGTAGACAAATAAATACAGTTACAGCATGTTCCGTATTATTTGTCGTAATTTCTTTGAGCCGTAATATCGTAATGCTGTAATGCTGTAATGCATTACGGCATTACGGCTGTGTCGAAATACTGTAAAGCTGTTGCATCTAATATTAATTTTCTAGCCAATTAATGATTATTTCAAAATATCTTAAACATTTATACATATAATCAAGATTATAATATGTTATATAGCTATTAACAAATTTTAATACATATATGGTATATAGCTATTAACAAAATTTTAATACATATGCATATATATTATCATCTAACCTAAGCCATAATAAAATCTTTATAATCTGATACCTGATAAATTAATTACGCATTTTAAATAGAATCAACAAATCTTTGAAGACTTTCTAGTTTTAAATATTCAGTTTAGTTTATATTCCGGTCAACAAACTTTTGCCTCGATTTTTTTTTTTTTTTTTTTTGTATTGACTATCAAAACTATATACAGTGAAGCCTCTATAAATGCACACCCTCTCTAACTGCACGTTCAACCTCTGGCCCAAATATATACATGATCTCTATAAATGCACTTTTTCTTATTGTTCTCTAAATGCACATTGTTAAAGTTCAGTCTCAAGAGCGTGCATTTATGGAGGTTTTACTGTAACTATTAAAGTAAATAAAATGTACTTAGAATATACTTAAATAGATTCTAAATTAGCAATATTTCATGCAAATTAACCCATATTTCGCGCGAAATAAATCTCCAATGGTAGATTTTATTAATCGGCGAATTATCAAATGTAAAAATTTTTAATAAAATGAGATCATCTCACCATTTCGTGTGAGGTGATATGCGAAATATATGCTATGTTTATCTCGCGCGAGGCACATCTCCACATAGAACATAGGCATTATAATATTACTGTTATGGTATCTGGTATCGCAAAATTACGGCATTACGGCTAGTGATGCAGTAGAATCGTCCCAATGATTGTCATAACTTGCCGTAACTATAGTAAGTAATAGTAAATTACTACTATAATGCTAACTTACTATATTACTTACTATATTACATATTATAGTTACGGCAAGTTAAAGCAAGTTCGGCAATCATTGGAACGATTCTACTGCATCACTAATATTAGATATAATATTTACGGCAATTACCGTCTAGCACTGCATAAAGTATTACCACATAAAGTGCCCCTTCTCCAATTTTAAAATGAGATTTCCCGGGTACTGTATGCAGTGCTATACTGTGCCGTAATAGTTCTACCACACGGTAAAAGCCGTAATTCAGTAATTCTATCGCCAATTATTACTATACTCCAAGCCGTTAAATTTTTAATATATAACTTAGCAGTTTAGATATCACGAGACTCTGCAATGACAATATTACTAGCTTATTTACCCGTGGTTTCACTACGAGAACTATACAAAATCTTGCGATATTTATGCATCATCTAACAGAATTTATTTTATCTTTGATGACGCTATTTCATACTAAATAACATTATCAAAATCCTGTAAAGATTAAATGATTCAATGCTATAGGTTTTCGTTGGCATCACGAATTTATATCTGGATTGATTTCTATTATATTCGGTAAATAATAATCTGTATATTTACTAAATAACAAAAAATCCTCGTTTAAAATTTGTTGCAAGTTAATATCTAGATTATTCTTATAAATAATTTAACGAGTGAGTATAATATTTATTACCAAATAAAAGTAGTTAATATAAAATACCGTAGTGTACTGATCAAAAGACCTAGGTCTAATACTCATCAAAAAACTTACAAAATACCCGTGGGTGTCTTGTTTGGCGACGGATATTTTGCATGGGGTACTTTATACGGGTATATATATATGTAATGCAGAAATCATTATGTGGCAATGTGAAAATGCCATGTAAAATAGCCGGGTATTATCCTCAGTTAAAAAAAATATGTCTTGTAAAATACAGTCTTCCCTCTTTACAATCACACTTTGGGCACAGCAAATATCATGATTATATAGAGATGTGATTATAAATAATTTATGCTATAATATGCTTGTCATAATCAAAAATCTGATTAGCTAACTAAAGCACATGATTTGGCATTAGTCTACTTTTGAAAATCTATTAGCTATTAGATTCTATATTACATTTGCATACTGTATCTAAAATACATAGTACCTAATAGTTATATTGTTACTTCATTGACAAGCTCTTCAATTCACTAACAAGTTCATTATAAACAGACCATTTCATCAACACCTCATTTCATAGACAGTTTGTTTCACCAACAGCTTATACCACTTAGTTTTAACCTTAACAAAATGACTGTGATTATTACTTTGTTGGTGAAGTGAGTTGTTGGTAAAATGAACTGTTTATGAAACGAATTTTGTTGTTATATGATATGATTGTCTACAAAGTGAACAGAACCAGTGTAAATAAGAAGCTTTTAGAATTTAAATTTACAGAGTTCTATTTCTAGGCTTAGTGTAATTTAAATTTGAGATAATAAAGAGATAAAATTACTATACGTACTTAATATTTGGTTACATAAATGTATGATAGTATTTATACACATTTAGATATTATAAAGAGGGGGGTTTATTATTAAAAGGTTGGTGCATAAATTAGTGTGATTCTATAGACACAGGTTG